ATGCAGTGTCATTTTCAGACAAAGAGGGTCTGTACTGATGCTATATTTGTTCATGAGATTGTAAACAAAGTTTCATAAAAAATATTCTTCAACAATATGAAAAGGCATTGGGATCAATTAGAAAGAACATCTGTTCACATATTTAAGTCTGAAAACACAAGTTAACTATTAATTTATTGACTAAATCAGTGATATAAAAGACTTCAGAACTTGCCCAGAATTTTTTATTTTCTAAACTTTGGCACCCAATTTTTTACACATCGGACCTAGCTCACTGCCTGTTGTCTTGGACGTCAATAGTAGTTGCCACCTGTCAAATTTGCTGAAGGTTGGAAAGTTGAACTTCAATCTTTTTATCATCTACCACAAATTCAGTGACCGTGTGTAATACACCTTAGAAAACCCAACAGGGAGTTTCCTGGCAGTCCAGTGGTTAGGACTTGCTGCCTCCACTGCAGGGGGCCCAGTTTCCATCCATTGTTGGCATGGCCAAACAAGCAAATAACACACACACACATATAGCCATTTAATTAGCAGCTATATTACAGGAAAGTATAGTATAAAATTAGGAAATGACATGATATTAATAGCTCTCTGTCTCAAAATACAATATATATTTCAATGCATGGTGTATTGGTGATTTTCATTGTAATGCTTGTGGCTTCAGGTATTTGCTGTGATGGATCTGGGCCCTTGTAGAGAATTTTCCTTCTGCCTGGTATGAGACCTCTTCCTTATTCAGCTCCTTCATCTGGCTAATCAACTAAGTCTTTAGGACTAAGCTTAAAAATAATTTTCTCAGTTTTAATCTTTCCCCTTTGACTCCTTCATCCTATGTATCAAGTGGTCATAAGAGTCCCCAGCACATAGACATTCTCAAAACTTGCTTGTTTAATAAATGAAAGACAAGATGCCCTTTCCTCCTATTTTTTTCCTATAGCACCTTGGGCTTATCTGTGTCAAATAACTTCTGCTCTATCTTCTAATAACTTGTAGATCTGTTTTCTCAAGGTAAACTTTCTATGGTAGGGATTAGTTCTTATTCACCTCTTTGTCCCCAAGCCTGGTAAATTGTGTGGCACAGAATAGGTGCTTAATAAACACTTTTGAAACAAAAGAGTAAAGTGTCATGGGTCCCTTAGGTTCAGAAATGCCTTTGCTGTTTATATGGAGCTCCCATACTATGGGTTATAAGTACCCCCAGGTACTTCTTAAGAGAGTCTCCTCTATATTAAAATTATTTTTTAGTTTCATTTGAAAAAAAAAAAAGGTGGGAAGAAAGAACATTCTGGTGGAAGTAGGGTTCTCTAGGAACTTTCTCTGAAGGAAATGAATACCAGAGGTATTAGACATAAAATGTTTGAGAATAAATGTACCCTATATGCAAGTGCAAGACTGTACATATTTTGTTTAAAGATTAGTAAGAGAGGAACAGGAAATACTTACTGATAGAAACAAGAGCAGTCTTGTATGATGGAAAATGGTGATATATTTGGGAAAGTGTGAGTCTAATCCTAGCTCTGTCTCTAGAATATTCCATCTCACTAAGAATGCTTCCTTAATTGGAAAAAAAGCTAGGAGAGTGACAAGAGCCTTCCATCTCTTAACAGCCGTGATCCTGTGTCATAAGTTAAGCAGTAATCATATCAGCCTCTTTTTCTTCCTTTCGCTGAGTTTATAATATATTTTGTAATTCACATTCAAAGCGTTTTTATCGCAACTGTTGGTTATATTAAGATTCATGATAACTGAAACCACATTTCAGGAAATACCTTTTCTTCCTTTTTTTTTTTAGGCACAGTTTCCATGTATTCTGCCCTTTCTTTCCTTCACACGCCCTAGTCTGCCTCCCTTCTATCCCCTTTCTTCTCTTTGCTTTTTTCAAGGGAAACTGCATTTAGGTACTTTTGATTCATTTCCAGGTGATTAACATCATATTATGTTCTTAGAATGCCTTGATATCTAAAATGCCAGTTCTTTAAAACTGAGAAAAAGATGACCGAAATTGATAGCCTTGTGCTTTGGAAGTGGTTTTATTTCATTCGCACCACCAGTAGGGTAAGGAAGAAAGTCAGCATGGCAGCAGTGCTATGTTGGAAATGGGGAACCGAGGACAGACTTGTTGAATCAAACCTCCTAACCAGTGCCATCTCCTCTAACCCCAAGACTTAGAGATTCTGATGTCTTGTTCGCTATCTGGTTCACTTGGCTCTGTGCCATATTTATCATCCTCTCTCAAAAGACCCATTCCCTCTGTTTTCCTCTTGAAGTTTTTTACTTCATGCTCCTCATTTATCAGTGCTACCCATGTCAGTGATCGGAGAGGTGGTTACAGCCAGACTCCAATCTGTGTGGCCTTTGAAATAAATCGTGTTCTGTGGGTTGCTCCCTTTTCTCTGGTGTAGATATTCAAAAGGACCTGGCACTGTTGGAAAAAGAAAGCAAAGCCCTGGAGGATACACAATGCTTTTGTTACATCTGGTCATCAAGAAAGCCCTCAGTCATCACCAGGTCTAGGCCTGATTCTGCAGGTTTCCAGACAATGGGGGAAAACAACCGCATTGCAGATTCAAGGAAAACAAATTGCTCTTTTCAGCAAGCACCTAGGGACTGCTCTCCAGCATCTCACTGTTAGGCCTTAGATGTTGGCCCTTCCAAAAGGCAGGTCTCTATCTAATTCCAAACCATTTGCCCTCTCATCCTCTCATCCCTGGGCTTCCCAGGTGCCTCTAGTGATAAAGAACCTGCCTCCCAAAGCAAGAGAGAAAAGACGTGGGTTAGATCCCTGGGTCAGGAAGATCCCCTGGAGGAGGGCATGGCAACCCACTCGTGTTCTTGCCTGGAGAATCCAATGGGCAGAGGAACCTGGAGGGCTACAGCCCATAGAGTTGCAAAGAGTTGGACACGACTGAAGTGACTTAGCACACACGCATGCCTCTCACCCCAACAGCACAGGCAAAGAGGAAAGGAGTATTGGCAGAAATGCACTGGTTCTGTCAGGAGGAAGAGCCAAATTGGAAGAACCCACAGCATTCTTTCTAGACCAGTTGTCCAAATGAGGGGAGATAGTATAGTTAATTCAACTGTAAAAAGCAGTTTATCTGAAGTAGGTTTCCAGCCCTGTCTGCCTGCTTTGATTAAATTTCTCACAGTTTGGGGGGATTTATATAGATTTGATTTTTCCTAACAGTTTATGCTTTAGTTTAAATAAATATAAGTATCCTATCTCTTTCATTATCTTATCCATTAAAAAATCCCACAAGCTTGGAAGCATTTGAAAATATTTAAACTATAGCATATTATTTTTTTGCTAGTGAAAACCATAATTTGTGAAAAAATATGACCCCATCTGTGATTTCTAAAGAATCCCAGAACTTTATTCCTAGATTAATTTTTGTTTTGGGAAAAAAAGAAGCTTTTTTTTTTTTTTAAACCCTCTGAAAGTGCTTTGGAGTATGTGAAGTTGTGAAAGTGTTAGTTGCTCAGTCAAGTCTGACTTCTGCGATCCCATGCACTGTATCTCATTAGGCTCCTCTGTCCATGGGGATTCTCCAGGCAAGAATACTGAAGTGGGTAGCGATTCCCGTCTCCAGGGGATCTTCCCAACCCAGGGGTTGAAGCTGGGTCTCATATCACCATTTTTTAAAAAAACTAAAGTGAATTTAATTTTTCATTTTAGAATTTTCATTTCAGCAAGGTATAAGAGTGTCAGGGTTGACTCCAGACCCAGCAATGCCTTTTCTGGCTCCTGGCCTTTAAGCATTGCTGTCTGCATCCCTGCCTTCAATTTCTTTATGGATCGAATTGGCCTGAGGATGCCTTACCCTCAAGTTGTAGTAAAACAATCAATCAAACAAGATCATGCATATGAGAGCCTTGGAAAGTTAAAAAGGAGGGTCTTTGAAAAGTTATAGAAACAAATGTAAGCTTTATTCATATTTATTTAGTTATCGTTTAAACACACATGATGTCCTAGAATTTATCATTTCGTGGTATCTCAGAATTTATTTCCAAATGTTTCTGGCCATGAGGTATAGAAATATATCTTTTTCTAAACTAAATCACTTTGCTGTACATCTGAAATGAACACAATATTGTAAATCAACTGTACTTCCATATAGTTATGTATATAGGTATATATATGTATAACTTTTATATGACTTGTTACACATATATTTATATAATGTTAGGTCTTCACACAGATTTATTGAATACAGAATTAGTGACTTTTTTATTAGCCTAGTTTTAAGTACATATTTATAAAGTTACTAACAGAAATTTGGATGCTAGTCATTTAGCATTAAGTCCGAGGTTGTCCTTGGTGGCTCAGATGGTAAGGAATCTGCCTGCAATGCAGGAGACCTCGGTTCGATCCCTGGGTCAGGAAGATCCCCTGGAGAAGGGAATGGCTACCCACTCCAGTATTCTTCCCTGGAGAATCCCATGGACAGAGGAACCTGGTGGGCTGCAGTTCATGGGGTCAGAGTTGGACATGACTGAGTGACTAACGCCTAAGGTGTAGTTATTATAGCTCCACTAGGTGCTATTTCTTTATGTGACTTAAAATCCACCTGAAAGATATATTGTTGCCTTGAAAAAATTATTTCCTTCTGAGCCAGAATTTGTCAAACGGTTGACCCCACAAGTATCAACTGAGGTGGGGTTTCCCTGGTGACTCAGTGGTAAAGAATCCGCCTGCCAGTGCAGGAGATGAGGGTTTGATTCCTGGATTGGGAAGATTGCCTTGAGAAGGAAATGGCAACTACTCTTGTATTTTTGCCTGGGAAATCCTATCGACAGAGGAGGCTGGTGGGCTACAGTCCATGAGGTTGTGAAACAGTCAGACATGACTTAGCAACTAAACAACCACCACCAAAAGAAGTGGTGGGGGAATAGTATAGATTTAGTGTTGCTCCCAGATTCTACTTCTTTTCATGACTCTTCTTTTCTTCTTTCTCCTTCTCCTGACTTTTTCAACCTCTCTTCCTCTCTGCCTCTAGGGAGAAGCGGTCAGTGGAGGACAGTCATTGAAAAACTACATGGAAGAAGTGAGTTTTCAGGTGGTCTTGTACATGGTCTGAAATCAGTCTATCATATGGGGTGAGACACCCACTTGGGCTTTCTCCATCTGCCTATAGGGTTTACAGTCTATACCCATTCACTGGTCATGCCTACAAAAAAAAAAGACAGTATATAGTAGGTTATCAAAATGGTGTTATGTTCTTCTCTGGTGAGGAGATCCTATATTTAATTCATCTTGAAAATGAATGTAAAATGGTATAAACCTAAGACTATTGTGTATTTTCATTCACAAGCATTTGTTGATATCCTAATAAATGAGAAACACATGTTTTATATTGGCTGTGCACAACAAAATAAGACGTGATCATTGCTCTTACGAGAGAATAAGCTGTACCAATTTGGCATTCATTCATGTGATAAATGCTTATCAAGGATGTTATCCCTACAAGTCATTAAGCAAAGTGCTATCTTGACAATAAAAACGTCTGGCAGATTTTTGTTGCAAAGGCATTGAGACTCCTGTTTTTATTTTGGAGATAGCCAAGGATTCTCTGTGTCTCAGGATGTGTTTTTGCTCTGTCTGCAGACTGCATTTGAGAACTCTCAGATAAGCCAGTGGACAGACTCCATAAAACTTGGTCTGAAGCCAAACCATAATGTTCACTAAATTAGCCATCTGAATCTTTTGCAGGTGAAGGAAACTGGGAAAGTTTGGCAATGAAGTCATAGAAGTAGCAAATATTTGGTTTGAATATTGCTTCTCGGCGAGACAGAATCTGTTTCTCTAAATATTTTATTCTTGCATGCATGAATCCACTCAAAGACCATTTTGAGTGGTCTTCTCAGTATAGTAGGTACTTCATGTATTTATTCAGAGCAGTGTACCAATACTCAAAGTCACTCTTGCTTCCAGATATCACTCGAAGAGGAAAATTTGAGTGCGTAGCACCCCCTTTAAGTTTCTAACATCTCTGGTTTGCATGCTTGTGTGGAGGTGGTTGAAATTTTACCAAAGGCACATGGAGAAAGGGTAGCAAAAGGAAAGCAAGGAAATAACTGGGTAGAAGTTCTGAACTCAGGTTAGAAATCAAAATATATGGAGCAAAAAAAAAAAAAAAAAAAGGAGGGTTGGTGCAGCAATTTTAAATTTCAATTTAATGTACTTGATGTCAAAATCTAGATAAATATATTAAAGCAATTAATGTTTCCCAAGAAGATAGAGATACTATTTTCAGTATGTACACTTAGAACCTCCCTTTAGGATTCCATGGTTGCTCAAGCCCTTGGTCAGCATTCCCCACCAGGGACTAAGGGTAGTAGGTCACCGCCACAAAAAGGGTGCCTAATACCTTTTGTAATGTGTCCTGTATGGATCTAGTACTCTAAAGAAAGGGGACCACTGAGATGCCAGTACAGGAAAAGGGCTGCATATGTGATAAAGAGACAGTCTAATTTTATGGTTCTTATCCAAGGAAAAGATCCTTATTTTCTCCATCATTATACATGTGCAATCTAAACGTGCATGTTATGTGCAGTTGCGTAAATACTTTATGTGACAAGGGCTTCCCAAGTGACTCAGTGATTTAAAAAAAAATCCACCTGCCAAAAGCAGGAAACACAGGTGACTCAGTTTCAATCCCTGGGTTGGGAAGATCCTCTGGAGAAGGGATTGGCAACCCACTCCAGTATTCTTGCCTGGAGAATTCCATGGACAGAGGAGCCTGGCTGGGTATAGTCCATGGGGTCACAGAGTCAGACACAACTAAGCAACCTACACACATCGGAAGAGCTAGCAGGGCACTGCTCCTCAGAGTGTTCCTCTGACCAGTGACACTGGATCCCCTGGGGGCTTGCAAGAAATGCCAAATCTCAGCACTCACACCAGATCCAAAGAATCAAAATTTACGTTTCTACCAAGAATTCTGTGTGATTCATAAATACCCTATAGTTTGAGAAGTGCTGCCCTGACGTGTTCTTTCCTATGCTATTTCTAGAAAGTAACTGCATACATCATGGAAAATCCCCAATTTTGTATAACATAGGTTAGGGAGAAATTCTTATTAATTTATTTATTTATCTACTCTGTTTATTCATTTACTCTCAAGAATAATATTTTTTGGTTGATTGGGGTATATAATCTCTCTAGCTTCTGAGATTCATTGCTCACTTTCAGTTTAAATTTAGGACTATGTGTGAACTAACCAAGGTAAGCCTTACCTTTCTAGGGGGTCAGTATCACATAGTATTTTTAATCTAATATTGGTTGATATTTAGATTTTAGCTCTATTTAAAACCAATAAATAATCATCCTTTACAAAAAACTAAGTATGACCTTAATTAATGAACTATTAATTTATTGATAGTTTCTTTTTTGCGGATGTTAATCATTCCATTTGGTCTGTAGAAAATATATATTTAAATTCTTCTTCCTTGCCAGTGCAAAATGTTGAGAATGCGAGGCATAAAATGATAGTTTTTGTTTCTTCTCTCTTACACTCTTATTTTGCTTTTGCCCTCCTTCTTGTTAGTAGAATCAGCAAACAATGAGGAGCAGTATTTATAAATGTTGGAAGCATTGAAGTTAAAAGTGATCTAGCAAGCATTTGCTTTTATTTAGTATACACTAAAACTCAAATAAACCATAGAGTTTACATTTTTATTATATTTAACATTTCTTGCTAAAGTTTGAACAGCTCTTTGCACATCAAAGTCCCTTTTTTTTGTATTTTGTAAATTTAGTCTTATAATTAGAATCATAACCACATAACATTAGGCAATTCTGTTCAGCCCTAAATCAAAACTAAGGAGACAATATGGTTTCCTCTAGAGGTAAAGCTAACATGAAATGTCTATATTTTCTATATTTTTAACATATTATTTATTTTTTCAGATAGGATTTGTATTCTTGGCAAAATGAAAAGGAGATATTTTATAATAGTTTACTTCTCTTGATCCTCAAAATGGTTCTAACAGTTTAGAAAGAAATTATGTGTTCTCTACATGTAAGGTACTTAATAACTCAGGGTAGGAATAAAATTTTCACATTGCAAAAATTTTAGCTGTTAAAATTATAATGTTAACATTCACTCAAAAAAAATATATATATATATGTATAATTGAAAACAACTTAAAACCAAATACTTGCAAAGTTTGCTATACCTTTTGTAGAGAAGCTAAACCATTTAAAATATCACATTTCCTAGAGGAGTAATTGGAACGTGGCATACAATATGGGTTTCCCTGGTGGCTCCATGGTAAAGAATCCGCCTGCTAATACAGGAGACCCAGATTCAGTCCCTGGGTCAGAAAGATCCCCTGGAGAAAGAAATGGCAACCTACCTCAGTGCTGTTGCCTGGAGAATTCCACGGACAAAGGAGCCTGGTAGGCTACAGGTCCATGGGGTCACAAAAGAGTTGGACATTACTTAGTGACTAAACAACACCAAAAAGCATAGTATACTGCTTAAAAACCTCCTAATTATTAGAGAAATGTATTCATTTGCATATGTATCCATCAGATAAATATTGTCAGTTTAAATGATTGAGTATCTATAAAGAGCTCAAGACTGAAGTTAATGATTTTTTAAACTTGTTCAAGAGCAGCTTCCCTGGTGGCTCCGTGGGAGTCCACCCACGTCCAATGCAGGAGCCACAGGAGACTTGGGTTCAATCCCTGGGTTAGAAAGTTCCCTTAGGGGAGGAAATGGCAACCCATTCCACTATTCTTGCCTAGAAAATCCCATGGACAGAGATGTTTGGTGGCCTACTGTCCATGGGGTCTCAAAGAGTTGGACAGGACTGAAGTGACTGCGCATGCACACACACAAGAGCAGTTTAGAGAAGGGAATGGCAATCCACTCCAGTATTCTTGCCTGGAGACGTCCATGGACAGAGAAGCCTGGCGGGCTACAGTCTGTGGGGTCGCAAAGAGTCGGACACGACTGAGTAGCTAACACACAGTCATAACTTGAGGAAGTTAGCTGAAGGCTGGAGACAACACACAGAGGAGGGTAAACTAACTCAAGGTGTCGAGAGGCAGTGTCATAGTCTCCGAGGGTGTCAGACAGGAAAAGAAGCACGCTGAGCAGGCAGGCCTTTTCAAATTTGTTGAGGATGATTTTGTCAGCTGTACCATCTGAACTGGAAAGAGGATTGATTCTATGTAACCAAATAACTTGGAATTGCTTTTCATGCCAATTTTGGCATCTTTTCTCCTGTGGTATATCCTGTGATCATCACTGTAATGAAGTTCCAGTTATACTTTTGAAGGAATGTGCATGACATTATTCTCCTATATTAGTAAGAGGTCTTTGTTTTTTATCATGCACTACTATACATTTCTATAAATTGCAAAGTTATAACATAGCTCAAAGTCGATGAAAGAGTGCCTTCATAAAATCAGACAAATGAAAGGGCTTGCCAGAAAAATGACTTGTTTTTCATTGGCTCTACCCAATCATCTTTTGTTACTTTCAAAGTTTTTACAATGTCATCCTATAATTTCCTTGAATAGAAACACCACAAAAAGGAATGAGTTAAGAAATAAGATGGAGGTGTCATGAAAATAAGCAGTAAACAATCAATAGGAGACATAGAAAAAAAGTATTTTTTGAGCCAAACTGAGGACTAGCCCAGAAGCCTACTTCCCAGATGACTCTGAGAAACTGTTCAGGAGATGCAGGATTTTCAGCACAGTTTTGTATCTTGTCAGAACAAAGAGCATCAAACAAGTCAGAGATACATTTCTTCAAGGTTTCAAAAAAAAGAACAGTCCAGCAAGTACACAGCAAGTCAGTGTGGCCTTGGCACCTGGGAAGGGAGTCATCATTGAAGGAGGCCCAGCATTGGTGTCCCAGGAAGAGAGGCATTTAATCTTTATTTTTAACATGGACATTCTTTATTCTTTGGTCAATGTGTCCTTTTCTCTAATAATTAAAGCAGATGTGCAATGTATGTTTGATAGGCCACAAACAGACTATTTTAGTTAGATCAGATTCAAGTTAACTCATGCATAAGCCAGAAGACTTCCCTATGACTCAATATGTGAGCATTTCTTTCATCAGAGGGCAATACCAATATGTAATGTAGTGTAGCAAATTTGTTGGATAAATTGTTTTTAGCAGCTTGTGTTTATTTTGTAATGTTTTTCATAATCTACCATATTTTTGTAACTATGTTATTGCTCCTTTTTTTCTTTTCCCAGATCTTGTTCATTCAAACTTATATTTTCTCGAATGTATCACTTTCCTGTTCTTAATTATTTTTAATTTTAATTGAAATATAGTTGATTTACAGTGTCTTGTTTATTTTAGTTTTAAAAAAAATTGGCTGCACCCTGGGGCATGCAGTATCCTGGTTTCCTGACCAGTTATGGAACCTTTATCCTCTGCATTGGAAAGCAGAGTCTTAACCACTGGACCACTGGGGAAGTCTCCCTGTTCTTATGTTTTAATTGTCCTCTGATAATATGCAAAAGATAAGCTACAGAAGTATAATTTGCAAAATAATTACAGTGTTCAGCCTGATAATACTAGCCATTTCATTAACAAATACAAAATTATTCTAAATTGTATTAAATATATGTTATATATGGAGAATTTTATTTTAACAGAAGTATAGATTTAATTATCTATCAGTTTTACAGCCTATTAAATATATGTAAGTGGGGTACAGTATTGTTTTGCTTTATTTGCAACATGATTCAGGAATACTTGCTTTTTAGAGGTCTTAAAGAAGTAAAGATATTTAGAGAAATAAAATAAAAGTGATAATCCCTTTTGAAAGGTTGAAGCTGATGTTTTGTGTATTATTTTCATTATTAACCAAAAAGAAAGAAATATTTAGTTGCCTCAGAGTTAAATTATCCAATGGTGAGCATTAGAGCAGAGGACTATTTTTTTTTCTCTCTAAATAACCAGAATAACCTATGGCCACACGTGACATCAATCACTGATGGATTGCATTTAGAGAATCCAAAAATAAACCAGCCATGTGGAATAACAATACCACTAAAGTTTATAAAGCACTTACTCTGTTAGCAGATAAAATGATATGTTGATACAGGGCTAGAGACTGTTTTCCATATGATACATGTCACTATTTCCCACCACTCCTGGTCCCTGGACATTTACATACTTATGGTGAAAGTGTTTTAGAAAAAGGATGAATGGCATTTCTTCTAAAAGCAATCCAAAGAACTTGCTCTTGGGAATATGAAATAGTTTGTACTATGCTCAGATAGAGTTAAGTATTCCTGTAGAAAAATTTTTGAATAAGTTGGCAAAAAAGGAACATGTCAACTCTTGTTTTTAAAAATGTTCACAATTTTAGCTCCTTGACCCCATCAAAAAGAATTATAAGTAGTCTGATGGGCTGAACTTTGGCCATACATAGTTTTGCCTGTTGGCATTGATGAAGCAAACAGGTGCATTATATTACTAACTGTATTCAAGGGAAAACCAAAGTAAAACATTTAAATGATCTATTAATAGCAATATTTATACTATTGCTATGATTCTGATTCCAACAGCTCAACATTTTAAAGTTCTTCCCAAACTACAAATTTTACCAAGCTAATGTTTCATTTGTACTTTAAATAATTTGTAATAAACTAAGAATAGCTTATCTGTTCAACAGTAAAGCCATTAAGACCAGAAACCAATCAGTAGTGTTACTGAATATTCTGAACTATTGTGGGAAAAAGTAACACTATTGACTTATTAGTCATATCTTTTCTTATGAAAACAGATTTTAGGATTTGGACCAGAAAGCTAAATAGCCAAAATGCTTTTTCAATTAAAAACATTTTTTTCATGATCACTTTAAACTTTTTTCTGTTTTAAACAGAGAACTTTTGCCATTTGATTTTACCTTGTAAGACCAAAAAGGTCATTTTTCATATTCTTTAAACCCAGAGATGCCATGTGAAAAACTGCAGGGATGTAATATCCCTTTCTGTTACATGAAGATTTTTGAAAATTTACTTCTGTAGTTCTCTATACTGTTATGGAATTCTAAAGTTAAGATTTTTCAGATTTGTGCTGCTTCTGTACTTTACTCCTGCAAGACCAAATCCAGTGTTGGGAAAAAAATTAAATCCTAAAAATAAATCAGGGCTTTCCAGGTGGCTCAGTGGTAAAGAATCTGCCTGCCAATGCAGGAGACCTGGTTTGATCCCTGGCTCAGGAAGATCCCCTGGAGAAAGAATTGGCACCTACTCCAGTATTATTTCTGCCTGGGAAATCCATGGACAGGGAAGCCTGGCAGGCGACAGTCCACGGGGTCACAAAAGAGTCAGACACAACTGAAGCAACTTAGCATGCATGCATGCACATCGATCATTAGAGCACTTATCAAAACATCACAATGGAGATGACAACTGAGCCTTGGGAGGACTATTAATGTTTGAGACAGATAAATAGAGTGCATCCTAAGCAGGAAGTATAACATATGAAAACATCTTAGTAAATTAGAGAGAATGAGAAAGTTGGGGAAATACCAGTTAATGATAGCTGGAGTGGAAGTGTCAGTCAAGGTGGAATGGAGATGGAAGTGGTGGTAAATCAGAGGCTAGCATGAAGGGCCTTGAGTTGTGATTTTATGCTGGGGATAATGAGAAGACCACTCAGGGTTATAAATGAGGTAATGAATGCATCATGTGCCATTGTTAAAATCTCACCATGGCAAGGAAATGGTGGAGGAAACTAGGGAAGGTATGAATCTTAATCCTAGAAAACTTGTAGACGACTATAACTACAGTCAGGATGTAAGATGATGAGGAACTGCCTTAGGTCAGTGATGGAGGTATGGAGCAGCAAGGAAGTACTTAAGAACTATATTAATGAAAATAGGAAGTAGTAAGAGAAAGGAGGCAGTGAAGTAGTACTAAAGGGTAAAGTTGAGACTGTTCTCTAAATCCTACTAATCCTTAATCACATTTAAAGGAATTGGAAACTTGATGGCAAACAGACACATTTTATGCAGTTTTATATTGAATATTTTATTATTATACTCCCCAGAATGAGTGCCAGGAATTCACAAAAACATTAACTCAGGAAGAAACATAGTCTAGTGTTGTATATTAGTTGCTCAGTCGTGTCCGACTCTTTGCGACCCCATGGATTATAGCCTGCTAGGTTCCTCTGTTCATGGAATTCTCCAGGCAAGAATATTGGAGTGGGTTGCCATTCCCTTCTCCAGGGATCTTCCCGACCCAGGGATTGAACCCACGTCTCCTGGATTGCAGGCAGATTCTTTACCATCTGAGCCACCAGGGAATTCCTAGATATTTCTTATTAAGACATTAAATCTTATTAAAGGGAGAAAGTTAAAAATAATGAGTTCGGAGTTTGTGGCATGTCCATGAAATGGAAATGAATTTAAGCTTAGAATTCTTTTCTGTTGTGAGGAAATTCTTGTTATTTTTTTTGACATGTAATTCATAGGAACTGAAGTATTCATCCATATTCACAATATCATTCTAGAATTTAATCCAAATAAGTTTCTTCTTTGGCAGGATGACTCTTTAAAGCAACTGCAGGTGGTTCATCAACCGTGGATCTTGCCAAGTGACACAGAAAGTGAAGGGGTAGAAGCAGAACAAGAGAAACGTGAGTAGACACTGCTGTTTATTGACAAATTGCTTTTAGCCAAAGGACATTCATGATGATAGTACATCCTTTTCCTAACATCAAACAATATCTGCAAAAAGTTCAGACTTGTTTGTGGAGCACATGTAAAGTGAAGCTATACTTAGGGTCTATAAATCTTGATTAAGTGATATCTTAATTGTGGTGCAAAGACCTATAAGCTTAACTTTCTGAAAAGAGGTATAGTATCTTAAAATGGGAATTATTCTTTCTGGAGACCAACATAAAATATCCATTTGAATTGTGAGTCTTCTATTGATACTGTAAATTTATATCGGTATAACTTGTGGTTATTAAAATGTTTCAAAGTATATTAGGAGCTGCTGAATATTATATTTGACATTATCAGTATTTGTTAAATGAATAAATTGATATATGTAAAACTGTTCTAAGTTCACAAAAAGATTAATGTTATAATAGTACTTAAGACGATTAGTATATCTAGCCCCTGATTTAAGTCATTGTATTATAACCGTAACAAAGAATGAATGACTATAATTTGGAGGTAATTCAGTGCATGCTCTCTAGGGGTTATTGACATTCTCAAACAGATGGGTTCAGCATTGTAGATGAGAGGTTAGTGTCTGAATCGTTGAGGAAAAATGTTGATTTTTAAAACAATAAGATATCAGAATTTTACCTTTTTTTTTGGTAGCCTGTAGAGAGAAATAAAAATTATAAATAGTAACCTAGCCCTCATGATAATTGGTGTAAAGTGATCAGTTAACTGTTCCCTTGAGCTATAGTTATCAGAGATACCTGATATGTTACAGGGTAGCATGATTCTGTACCAGAGAGATTCAGGAAATCACTCTTCCAGGTGAAAAGGCATTTGTAAATATCCTGATCCTGCTTCTATAACTGTAGGCTCATGTGGCCAGAAAGAACATAGCCAGGAGGGGAACTCAGGTGAGAGGAGGAGGCAACCCCAGTGACACTGAGCTGGCACATCCCAAATGCAGTGAATAAGACACTGTCATTGTACAGACTCTAGTGGAGGGAACACCTTCTTTAGAAAACAACTGATGAAAACTCAGAAAGTAGACTGTAGTTTAAGCAAGTATGAAAATAAAGAGTAATTTATCTTTTAATCTATTTTTAATAGGAGAGTAATTTAGAAGATCTTTAACACAAGGGATCCTAAGTAAAATAGTCTAAGAAAAGGGCAGCATAGAATAAAAAGAGAATCCCTCAAATCTAAAAAAACAAGTGGCCCACAACTTTTATGAAAACAAAGGCAAGCACGTTTATACCCCTTCCTCCCTACACATTTAAAGATTTGGAAACTCTCATTCTAGAGTTTGGATTTAATAATTCTCATCAATTTTTTTTTAGGTCTTTGTAAATTTTGCATTAAACAAACCCTTTAAGGGAATGTGTGTGTGTGTTCATATGTGTGTGGTGTATAAAGATAGTGTATGTAATTGGGATAGTTTAACTCTCTTAGATTCAACACATATGTGCCCAACATGGGCATGACCAGGTAAACAACACCCTTATAAGATGCATAGTGTATTAATTCTGTGTGTGTGCTATAATTTCTAATGAACTAAGACTAAAATCAAGAAAGTATGGATCAAAAGTGTATTTAATCCAAGTCTAAATTCAGACTTAATTCCTTTCCCTCAAGTCCATATGTCTCCAATCAGTATTACATCTAGAAAATAGGTTAATAATGCAAAGGAAATTAAAAATTCCCAAAACTTTCTTCAGCTCTTGTCATCTAATCATATTGTCTTTCTGCATATACTTTCACAAGATTTTCGTGATAGTTGTAATCATCTTATCTTCTATTAGAATGCAACTTCATAGAGGGAATGACTCTGTTCTCTTATTTAGTTACATATTAAGACCTCAATAAATATCTGAACATTTAATGAATTAATAAATAGATTTATTTGGTACTGACTTGTTTATCAATAAATAATAATTGTGACTGAATAATTGTCATAAAAATATCTATAGTTTTATTAAAATTTTAATGTTGGGTTTAGAGTTTAGCTATAGATTTTGCCATATGGTCTATTAATCACTCTGAAGAAGTCCATTCTTCAACTCTACTAACCATAGACCTAGAACCAAAAATATTTGATTTTAGCCATATTGTACTTGGAGGTGACCCTTGACAATGGTAAATTGTTTGAAATAAAATCAGGATTTGAAAATAATTAAGTGGTAATAGGAGCCATCTGGAAATGGAATGCTAGTTGGCAGTGTAGCCAAACTCATAGCACAGAGATGCAAGTACTTTTCCAGAGCAGCATCCAACATTTAAGTACTGGGTCAAGTGTAAGATGGAGCCACTGAGGTCGTGATGAAAGTGAAAGTGAAAGTGTTAGTCATTTAGTCCTGTCTGACTCTTTGTGATTCTATGGACTATAGGCCGCCTGGCTCCTCTGTCAATGGAATTCTCCAGACAAGAATACTGGAGTGGGTAACCATTCCCTTCTCCAGGAGATCTTCCTGACCCAGGGATCGATCCCGGGTCTCCTATATTGCAGGCAGATTCTTTACTGTCTCAGTTTGTATTCAATGTATGAGGTTTGTGGAACAGCTGGAAGATATGTACAGATCATTTACCTCTTTATTTTCTCAGTGAAAGAAAATAAATGACATAAATCTATGTCATCCCAGCGTCTGATTTAGTGTCTAGAGGCTCATATATTAGAAATGTGTAAATAGGAAAAGGACAAGATTCATCATTCCAATGGTAACACCTGTTTCTTGACTCAACTTCCTATAAATTATATGTAGATAATTTTATGGAATTTTCAGATTTCTCCTGAGACAAAATTATCATAGCGGAAACTTTCAAAATAATGTCGGAATATTCGTAGTGGTGCATATTTCTTATTGCCTCATTTAAAACTAAGACTTATCACAAGTAAGTTTTATAAAAGAGCACCATTTAGGAAAATATGTCTTGAATAATTCAATGGGAAGCTTTAACAACTTTTATTATAAATAAGAGAAGCAGACTCCTTACATAGACTTTTTCTTTCCACTCTGATTTTGGTAAAAAAGTCTACATCAGAAATTTTAAAAACTCATGTCAGGACTATGCTTGTTTTTAATTGCTCAGATTATGATCTGAAGTCCCTAAGTAACTGAAATGATAGGCACTTGAACCTTCCGGGGTACCTGTTTGCTATTCATGTTACTGGACTCCACTTCAGACCTAGTCAATCAGAATCTCTGTGCATGGAACTCTGAATTCTGCATTTCTAATAAGCTCCTCAGTTGATCTTTGCTTATTCTAAAGACTGAGAACTACTGGAATGAAAAGTCCAGGGAATCAGAGAGTTGTATTTTCAGAATTTTCTCCATGGTGTTGTTAATCTCCAGACCTTATTTCTCTAGGCTGCGTTTTTATCTGTAAGTTAAGTTTAGACATCAAATGTGAGGATGGAGAAGAAAAAAGGCTGAAATTTAAGGGAATGAATGTGGAGTAAGATTGAGGGTCAGGTCCCCTAGTCAGTAGGTTCACCATCTACAAAGGCACACATCATTAAACAGCCTCAGTCAAGCCAGTCAGAACCCTCTGACTACATTTTAGATTTTTAAAAATGAATTGTTGTTGTTGAGTCACCAAGTTGTGTCTAACTCTTTGCAATCCCATGGATGTAGCCTGCCAGGCTCCTTTGTCCATAGGCTTCCCCAGACAAGACTGCTAAAGTGTGTTGCCATTTCCTTCTCCAGGGGATCTTCCTGACATGAACAACTAAATCAAAAATAAACAAACAAATGAAAAGCCAAACCAAAGAAACAAATCAGCAGAGATGCCCAAAATAAAGAAATAAGAGCCAAATTAAATGGGAACTAATATGGTAGTGACCCACTGAGACCTCAGATTTGGATGTAGGTCTGAGGCCCCGGGATCTGAGGTCTCACTGTGCATAAAAACAGCAGATTTGACCCTGGGTCTGCTTAAGGCCGGGGGGCTGGTAGGATGATGCTGTACAAAGTCTGTTACCTGGAAAAACAGCCTCAGGTGTGAAAAGGGAAACAAGAAGCTGGACTTTCCAGCTGTCGAAAGCAGCAAGGTAGTTTACTATCTGTTCTAGGGTTTGGATGAAAAATATAAATATATTCATCAGAAATCAAATTCTCAGATTTGTACCTTGACTGTTAGGTTCCAACTTAAGCTACCTATATTGTTAGGAACCCAAAATTATAATAAACATTGGGCATTCTCGTTAAGTGTATTTTGAATTAACAGAAGTTAATGTTAAAAGGCTGCAGTTGGCAACTTCATTGAAAACATAGTACTAATTTTGGTAATAATATTATATAATTTAATAGTGTGTTATGTTTTAATGTTCTTTCCTTTTGTGTATGTTTTTGTGGTAATGCTAATTTAAAAATTTCAATGTGCATATTTATCTCTTACAAAAGCATGACCCAAAATCTACATTATATTTTTATTATTAATTCTTTAGTTTAGAATAATTTAGAATTCCAGGAACATTGCCAAAATAATACAGAGAATTTATATATCGCCTTTACAGTTTATCTTAGGTCAACATGTCATAATACATTGGTAAATTTACAAAACTAATAAACCAATACTACTATTAACTGACCATCAGAGTTTATTTGCTCATCATGTTTCCCTAATCCCTGCTGATCTGTAACAATTTCTGTCTTTCCTTATTTTCCATGACCTTGAACCTTTTGAGGAATACAGGTCAAGAATTTTGTAGAATGCTGCTTAATTAGGATTTGTCTAATAGTTTTCTCATGATTAGACTGTGGTTATATATTTTGGGAGAAAAGACCAAGAAGGTGAAATACTCTCATCATTTAATATTAGAGAGTGTGTGCAGTTATCATGATGATACCCTATATCACCAGGCCAAGGTAATGTTTTCTGGCTTCTCCCTTGTAAAGTTACTTTTAATCCACCTTTTTATACAATTCTTTGGAAGCAAGTCACTAATTCTTGCTCCAATTATATGTAT